CATTTCCATGCAATTTCCCTTCTCTCTCCCTTTCCCTCCCACCTCTCGTCTCTGTTTAATGTTACTCTTTTCCTCCTGCTCTTCCTCCCTGCTCTGTTCTTAGTTGCTCTCATTATATCAAAGAAGACATTTGGCATTTGTTTTTTAGGGATTGGCTAGCTTCACTTAGCATAATCTGCTCTAGTGCCATCCATTTCCCTGCAAATTTCATGATTTTGTCATTTTTTAGTGCAGATGTTCCTCTTGACCAACCTCCTCCCCATAGAGATGGGGAAGCCTAAACCCTGGAAGAGGAAGTGTTTGCCAATCAAGGGATCTTCCAGGACCCTGCATCCATGGACATAGCCCCAGTTCACAGACCCCCATCATAAAAGAGAGTAAAGAAGTGGCAAGAGATTGAAGTTCCAGGTGACACTAGAAGGGGACAAAAGGTAGACTTGTAGCCACAGTGAAATATCTAGGGAAGGGATACACAATTCACAAAGAGAGCTTCTGCCAATACCAACAACACTAACTAGCCACTAACGCTCATTAACATGAACCTCTAACTACTAACACAAACTTTTAAGTGGCCACTAACCACTAATTAACCACTATCATTAACTAACACCAACCACTAACACCACTCAGCTAACATCTCTACCAACAATTAAAACTCAAGAGAGACCAAGATGGTTTGAATGATAATAACATTGCTGAAAAGCTGTCACGCTTACACCATTTGTGCAAGAATCCACTAGACCGACTTTTCTGGGAGACAATTTGGGTATTATAAGACTCATCACATGCACATTATTATCTAAAGCATTCTAAGTCTAGGGGAATTGGTTCTGAAACTCTCAAAGCTTATTCTAAACTTTTCTTTTTTTCTTTTTGAAGGTCTATACCGAAATTGTAGGCAAGGAAATCTATCTTCCCAGCTATTTATAAAAATGGCAAGGATCTTCACCAACTGGAAGTTTGCTAAATGATAATTGGTTAAATGAAGAACATCATATAGACTTTACAAATCTGTAGCAGAAAAAATGTCCGTGATTGTTCTGCAGCCAGCTCAGTTACTTTTTTTTTAAATTACAGCTTTATTGAGATAAAATTCATATACCATAAAATTCACCCCTTCACAGTGCATGATTCTGTGATCTTTTTTGTATATTCACAGAATTTGCAACCATCTCTACTAACTTTAGAATATTTTGTTGCTTCCAAAAGAAACACCATCACTCTTGACAGTCACTCCCCAGTCCTCGCTCCGCAGCCTCTGTGAACCTCTCATCTACCATGTTTCTATGGGGATTTGCCTGTTCTGGGAACTTCATATAAATGGACTCAGACATATGTGGCCCCTGTGATTGACTTCTTTCACTCAGCATGACATCTCCAGGGCTCATACGTGGTGCACTCCATTCCTTTTTATTATGGTATTAGCTTTCCACGGTATGGAGATGCCATGTCTTATTTATCCATTCATCAGTTGGTAGATAATTGGGTTGTTCCTCCTCTTGATTGTTATGAATAGTCACAGAAAAGTTCTTATGCAGACACATGTTTCCAGTTCCCTTACATGTGTACCTAGGACTACATTTGCTAAGTGACTCAAAGTTTGGCTTTTCGAAGAACTGCCAAACTTTTTGCCAAAGCAGCTGACCATTTTACCTGCCCACCAGCAATGTGTGAGGGCTCCACATCCGACCAATACTTGATACTTTTTTTTCCCATTTTCGACATCCTCACCGGGGTGAAACAGTATCCCATTGTGATCTTGATTTGGGTTTTCTTGATGACTCATGGTATTGAACATTCTTTTGTGTGCTTACTGACCATTTGTAGGACATGCATGTTATTTTAAAGGATAGAAACAAGTTGCACACTTAGAAATGTATGATAATGGCAAGATGTGTCAAAAATGCAGTGTGGGGTTTAAATGTGAGGTGTCCCCCAAAAGCTCATGTGTGAGGCAATGCAAGAGAGTTTAAAGGTGAGATGATTAGATTAAGAGAGTCTTAACATGATCAGTGCATTAATCTGCTGATAGGGATTAACTGGGTGTTTAACTGCCTTTGGGATGTGGCGAGAGGAGGTCATCCCTGGGGCCCTGACTTTGGGGTATATATTTTGTCCTTTTAAAGCAGAACTAACCCTCTCTGTTTCCCACTTTCTCTCCTTACTGGTGCCATGTTCCCAGCTGTTTGCCCCCACAGTACCGTTCAGCCATGATGTTGTGCCTCACTGGGAGCCTGAGGAATGGAGCTGGCCTTTCTGTAGACTGAGACCTCTGAAACCATGAACCCCCCCAAGTAAACTTTTCCTCCTCTGGTTGTTCATGTTAGGTCTTTAGGACACAGCAGCAAAAACAGCTGATTAAAACATGAGGGAAAAAACACCTTTCAGGAAACATAAAGATATCCGTGGTGAACGTCATGGGGTAATAACATCGTGGTTGATTTTTATTTTCTTTTTAATCACTTCTATCCCTCTGTTCTGACTTAGATATGAGATGTCCCCCAAGAGCTCATGGGACAATGAAAGAATGTCCGGAGGTGAAATGACTGAGTTATGAGAATCTTCATCTAATCAGTCGATTCATCCACTGATACGGATTAACTGGGTGGCAACGATAGGCAGGTAGGGGGGTGGCCGGAGGAGGTAGATCCCTGGGGCATGACTTTGGGGTTTTGTCCCTGTGATACCTCCAGTTATCAGAGATGAGTTCTGCTTCCCCACATGTTGAGGTTTGAACATTAGAGAAGCAAGGTGAGGCAAGCATATGAAGCAGGGTTTATTTAAAAGGTAGTAATGTAGGCTTCTCCCGGGAGGGAGGAGAGGCCATATCCCAAGAAGTGAGGGTGTTCTGCCTTTTATACACCCTGGACTTTCTTGGTTCTTTTGCCTTCTTCCCCTTTATCTCTCCCCCTCCTGAATACCTGACTAGGCCCAGGAGGTGGCCCAGGTGGGATGGCCAACAGGTGAGAAGCAGATAGGCAGGGAGAGGGGCCAAATGGAGTGATCCAGGCAGGACGCAGCCCAACAACTTTTACGACTCCCTGTAGGGAGGGGCAATCCCTGGGACAGGTGACCTTAGCCACAGGTTGGAGCAGGGGCAGGTTGTCCTGGTGAGAGTGGAGGAAGGGCTCTGAAGACGTTGACATTTCCATTCCTCAGGGGCAGTCTCCAACTTCCGGGACCCAAACTGGCCTCCATTCTCCCCATTGGACCAACTCATTACCTCTCTACACGAACTGCCCGTCTTTAATTCTGGCTTCACCTGGTGAGCAGAGCTCGGTGTCTTTCCCAGCTGGTGTGTCCCGAGCTGCTGTCCTCCACTAGGCCCGTCCACTGTGATGCTCTGCTTTCTGACCAGGGACTGGACCTCTGAGATCATGAGCCAAAATCAACTTTTCCTCCTCTGCATGGCTCTGGTCAGGTCTTGGGTCACAGTGACGAGAAGTTGACTGAAGCAACCTCCCAATCACCTGCGATAAGTGGGATCACTTTTATGATCTGACACTAAAGGAAAGAATGCACAGCGGGTTTGAGACTGGGCCGCCTTGACGTCTGTCCGACCAGCAGGTGCTAGGCATCTGGGCATCGCAGGCAGCCATGTGACCTTGGTTTTCATACGGCTGCCTCCTCCTTCACAGGAACCCTCATGATTATGAGCAGAGGGGTGTCCACCAGTGCCCTTTAGCACACACACCTGCGTGCCAGCAGCCTAACCCGCCATGCCCAGCCCGTGATCCAGGAATATCATGGAAGGCAAACAAGGACCTCGTGCAGAAAGGGCTCAAGGGGATCACAGAGGCAAGAGGAACCCAAGCCAAGTCCAGCAATCAGCCCCGGTGGGTGGAGGTGGGAGGGGGAGGCTGGACTCTCAGGTCTCCAAGGACAGTACCCTGGTTTCTTTCTCCTTCCTCCTGCCAAGGAGGAGGATGGGAGCAGGGTGGATGGTATGGATGTGTTGCTTTAAAGGAGCCCTCAGGAGGTCGTGGGCAGCAGGCAGCAGGTTGGGACTCAGGAAGGTGTAAAGGACTTAGAGTAGAGGAATCTCCACCCCAGAGAAGGTCAGGAAAGGAGACTCAGCAATTGCCAGAAGAATTTTTTAATGGGCACAAGGAGAAATGCTCACATTTGTTAGACATCAGGGAAATGCACATAGGACCAGCAGTGTGGGGCCACCGTGCACCCGTATGGGTTGCCAACACAAACGAGCTGCAAGTGCCACATGTCGGGGGCTGCAGGTATTTTGGAACCTGGAGAGCTGCTAGCGGGAGTGCCAATTTGCAGACACACAATCTGTCAGTTCAACGAGAGGCATGACTGGTGTCCTAGGTATCTACTCCTGGGTAAAGGCTTGCCCACACCAGTCCAGAGGGAACATCGGGTGCATGTCCACCCAGAGGGAGGGGGATGGGTAACCTGTGACAACAGCCCCATGTGGGCACCATGAGGCCAAACAGGACCGACATACACATGGCAACATGGGGGGATTTTTCAAAAGCACAGTGCTGAGCAGCGAAACACGAAGGCAGGATGAAGCACATAACCAATAGCATTTATGTAAATTCTCAGAAGAAACACAAGAAACACTCCATGCTTTGCAAGAGACACAGAAACACAAAGAATCTCATTGCACATGTTGGCTTCTTTGCCTGTGGGAGGAGGGGAGTGGGAGTGGGGTGGGAACAGAGAGAATCCATTTTTAAAATTAATAAAACATGAGGATCCCTGCAGAGACAAATGCTGATAAGGCAGGATGAACCCAGAAATGATAAATGCCACTCTGCATAGGGAATTCAAAGAGGGGATGGAGACGCTCTCCCCTTTAGAGGCACATTGTTCACTGGAGCGTGTATCTATTCAGCTATAAGTTTATGGGCTCCTCGGAGCCTTGGGCTGTGGCCCCAGACTTGAGGAAGAGGACCTACTGGGAAGAAACACAGATCAAGGAAGTTAGCAATGACATAAAAGGACCTAGAGAAAAGCCAAGAGGCAGGAAGGATGGTCTTGCTCCTCCAGAGGCTGGTGAGTAGCTGCCCTAGTTCAGGGATGGACTCCAGGCACCGTGTGGCCCACCTAGCACATAGACGTCAGCACCTTTGCCCCCGAGCGGGAAGGCATTGCCCAGTTAGCACAGGTCCTCCGGGCTGGCAGCAGTTCAGGGTCATGGCCATGCCACTTCCGTGAGATCTCAGTCCTCACCTCCAGGGATAAGGGAGAGGACGTTAGGAAGGTCCCAAGGCCACTCCACTGCTCACCCCAATGAGACTGGGGGTGCAGGGAGAGGTCCTGTAGGAAAAGCACACACAGGGCAGCAGAAGCCACAGCTGACCACAGGTAATGCCCAGTACTGCCCATGGAGAATACTGCTTCCTCCTTCCTCTGAGTATTGCTGACCACTGCCTGAAGCTCTTTCTTTGCCTTTTAGCACTGCCTGTGTCTGGGTCCAGTTAAAGACACCTATGGGTGCTTTCTTGAGTATCCTTGCCAAATTACTACTCTGTCCTCCCTGGGTGACTTTAATCACCCCTGCACTAGGCTCGATTCTGTGAGCTCAAATGTGGGAATCTGTCCTGAGGACATGACTGAAGGGAGAGAGGACTCAGAGCTCTGTGTGAGGCTGCAGTTGAGAGAAATGAAAGAAACACAGCCAGGGGGTGGGGCCCGGGTGGGGGTGGGCGCCGTCTGTATCTTCACATCTCCTAGGGACTGTTGGGGGCTGAGGGACTGGAGCTGCCTGGCAGAGCCGAGCTGGGGCTGCGATAAAGATAAAAGGGGGTGCAGATGTCTCCCCACAGCTGCCTGCAGACAGAGAGCACTGCTGGTGGGTAGTAAGCTCCCCATCACCAGCAGCGTCCGGTCCCCAACGCTGCTTCCTGGGATAGACCCCTCCAGACCTACCTGTGGGAACTCCTTTCTCAGACCCCAATGGCCTCCGCAGAGGCCACCCCTCAGCCCCACCCCGGGTTTCCAGGATGCCCTGAGCCCCCACCATCCGCCACACCCTCACGCTGCAGGCCTGGGTCTACATTCCAGACTCCAGGTAAGGCTCACAGGACTCAGAGAGGCTGGACTGGGAGCCCAGGGAGCCTGGGAGAAAGAAGCATGAGGGCGCAGAGGTGCGGGTAGGCAGCAGCACAGGGCACCTGCAGCCTGCTCTCCACCAGAAGTAGGGCTGCGAAGCAAACCCATGGCCACCAGGGGGAGCCCGCGACCCCAACCACACACCCAGCAGAGGGGACTGGAGTAGCTGCTCAGAGCTAGATTCTCCCATCTCTCCCTAGAGCAAAACTGTCCTAAGGGCAGAAACCCGCAGGGTCTTCTGGGTGCCTCTCACTCCCGCCTGCCATTTTCCCGTGCCTCTCTGTGCACAGCAGCCGGCCATCGGGTCTGTCTATTCGTGTCTGCCTCCATCTCTGGTTGGTCCAGTTGTGTGTCTCCTCTGGGTGCTCTCTGTTTCCCCCATTCTGTTCTGGATCTTCCTCTCTGTCTCCGTCTGAATCTGACTCTGTGTCCCTAGGTCTCCATATGTCTGCCTCTGACTCTCTCAACTCCTCTGTCTGTTCTCTCTGACCATCTCCCCCTGGAGCTGGCATACTCCCTCCCTGTCTCTCCTTTGACCCCTGAAAGACCTCCTCTGCCTCCTATGGAACAGGCAGTAGAATTTGGCCCGGCTCAGAGGAGGAATGGGTGAATGATATTTACAAAAAGCATTCAGGTTCCGCTTGATCAAGGAGCTCAGTACAGATTCCCACAAAGGATCATGGGAATCAAGGATCACAGGAGTGTCAGCCTAAGCTGGGGAGGGTGGGAGAGTTTAGGTTCAGTGGCAGTGGAGCTCAGTAAGCAAGGAAGAGCCAGAAGATCACATACCTCTTGGTTGAGGAAGCAGTAGAGGATGGCAACAATAAATCCCTGTGGGACCGGAGAGGAAGGACTCCATAAGAACAGTTTGGCCTGGCCTCAAGGCCTCCACAGTCTTGCTACTACCCTCTCCCCACCAGCTCCAGGCTGCAGCTTGGGCCAGGTGTTTGCCAAAAGGGAATTTAGATGCATTCATCGCTTACTGTTTGCCAGGCACACTGTTCCGTATCATTGCTGTAAGCAAGCCTGCCCATGCAATTAGTCCATTTCTCTGACCTGGATCGAACCCAGGGATGCACTATCACTGAGCTACACTCCCAGCACTTTATTTTTAGTTTTGAGAAAGGTTCTAAGTTGCCAAGGCTGTCCTTAAACTCAGGATCCTCCTGCTTCAGCCTCCCGAGTCACTGGGATGGAAGGTTTGTGACCCCTTGACCAGCTTTTCTTGACTTTCTTTATTCATATTAATAATCCCTTTATTAATATGCACATTACCTGGCACATCATCAGTGTTGAATAGCTGAGATGAAGGTATGCATGGGTGGGTGGGCAGATGGACAGAACAGGGAGATGAAGGGGTGGATGGAAGATGGACAGGGGGTAGTTGAATAAATGAACAGTAGTGGTCCTCACCCTATCAGGAAGCTAGCCAAGGCCTCCTGCTCAAGTACTTGGAGGAAGAAAGTACCTGTGGGGACCCTCACCTGGAAGGAGCCCAGTCCCAGCTCGAGGGGGAGGCGGATGCCCAGGCCAGCATCGTCGGGCAGGAAGTTAAAGATGATGTAGTGAATTCCAAACAGCGGGATGAGGAGAAGCGTTGACTTGGAGAGGCGCCTGCAGGGAAGACAAACACAAGGTTCCCAAGGCTGGGGTCAGAAACTGCAGCGTGGGCTCTGCCCACTCACACTGCCACAGCCTCCCCACTCCACCCTGGACACCAGCCACCTGGGACACCCATCCTCCCGCACTCATGCTGGGATTCCTTACTCTTGTACCCTCTGCTAAGGTCTCTTGTCCCATTTTATTCCAAAGTCCATGCATCTTTCAAAATCTAGTTCAAAGACCACTCCCTCCAGGCCGTCTTCCCTGACTCCCCTCTCCCTGCTGTCTAGAAAGATCCCCATCTCTAGGCCCCTGAAAAAATGGATCCCGGCTCTCTTCCGCCTAATGGGCAGGGTAACTGGCTGTTGGGAGGCCCTCATCTTTCCCATGATGTGGTCTCCTGGAGGGAAGGGACAAGATCCATTGTCTCTGAGGACATAGGAAAGAGGAGAGTGCTGGGATCCACTTGGAATCTCCTCCGTGCCCTCCCTCGGGTCCACCAACACACACACACACACACACACACACACACACAGCCACACACAGCCACAAAGGTGCATGAGCTTGTGTGTGTGCGCACAGGCACGCACCTCCACCCCCACCCCACCCCCTAAGGTACCAATATTGAGACTGGGTGTGGGGGCTCCCCTGAGCGGGCTCCAGTTTCCTCAGCAGGATGCGGATAATATTGAGAAAAAGCCCAAAATTCACCTGGAAACGAGGTGCGGGAAGAGAAAGGTCAAGAGTCAGGGGCATCACTGGGGCATCACTGGGTGGCCTAAGGAGGAACCCTAGCCCCTTTGGGGACTGGAAACCCCAAACCCTTGAGACACGGGGATGTGCCAGTGAGGGGTGTGCACAGATCATGTTTCTGGAACTTTGGGCTCCCACGTGAGGTCTTCAGAGGACATGAAAGGCTTATGTTCCCTCCCTCTCCAGACCTGGCAGCAAAGGTGGGAGGTGCAGGCCCTGACACCTGCCTCCAGTCTCTTCTGAGTCTTCTCTGCCTCAAAGCAGAAGCCATCACTTTGCACAATTGCTAAGTTGGGGAAAATTCACTCTTTCCCCCAGCGCCATGCAAAGAGAGCTCACAGCCAGCCGTCCTGTGTTACAAGTGGGAGCCCAGAGTGGTTGTTCCCCTGCACTGGCTTCACCTACACCCCACCCCTGCCTCTCGCCCCACAGCGCGTAATCAGCAGCCAGCAGCACCCCAGACTCATGGAGACTCCAAGCTGGAAGCATGCGTTTTGTTGGAGTCCCTGTTCCAACGAATCTGATCCTGAGGCAGGGACCCCACGCCCAGAGAATCTGCACAGGGGGAGGTGGGACTCAGGGGTCCCGATTCCCCGCCTGGAGGTGTTTCCTGTTGCATTTTGCTGTGTACAGCCCCTTGAGGGACCCAAGGAGGCTGACTGAATAAAGCAAAAGGACCCTGGCTCCCAGGAACTGACCCCAACAGAGAGGATGATGGGCCCTTTGATGATCCACCAGTAGGGGGAGCTGTCGTCTAGGTCCCAGCACCTAGGGAGAGGGCAGGCCAGGGCTGATGGGGGCGCTCCCTTTCTGCAGGAACCTCTGCATCCTGCTCCTCTCTCCTCTTGCTACTCCTGGGCTCCTCTCCTGGGTGTCTTTCACCCCACCTCCCTCCCACCTTATCTTCTTTTTCAGACACCTAGGGCGCCTTCTAAAGAGAAGCCCCAGTGGTTCTAGAACTTGGGGCTGGGCTCAGCCTTTCTCTTCACCTGAAGGAATGGACTTCTCTAATGTCCGTCCCTGGTGGCCCAGATACTTCCAGAGGACCCACTGACAGCCCCACACCCCCAACACCCTCAGCCCCACACCCTGGCAATCTGGGCCCCTTCTGGGTTATCTGCAGACATTCTCCCCACCTCCCAGCCCCACCCACACTGGGAACTCCTCTTCCTCCTCTTCCTACTCTGGTGGAGAAAGGCTGCTTCCCTTGACAGTCCTCTCCACACCCCAGATCCCCAGATGTGAGTGAAATGACTCACGCAATGTCCTCAAAGGCCAACTTGCAGCCCACCCAGGTGCCAGTGCAGAGCATGGGAAGCCCTGTGGGGTGCAGAGGAGACCCGAGTGAGGGGGGGCTGCATCCTTGGCTCTGAGATCCGCCCTCCCCTCCCACCACCACTGCTGGCCTCAACGGCCAGACCTGACAAGGGCCCAGGGTCCAGGGATCCAGTCCTGCTCTCCAACACCTGTTGGAGGACTGTGGCCCATCTCTTCCCCTCTCGGGACTGCAGTCACCCCCACGGTGGGGAAGGGCCTCTGTGTGAGGGCCTTCCCAGCCCTCCTCCTCCTCCAGGGTGTGGAACAGCCCCAGGTACTCACCCCAGCCAGCAAGGACCAGCCACCAGAAGGCTGTCCTTGAGCTGGGAGACGCAGAGGCCAAGAGGCAGCTCAGGTAGATGGCTTCGGCCAGCAGCCAGCTGAAGTTGGTCATCGTGGCAAAGTGGGAGGTGGCCACAGAGACCTTGCACAGGACCTGGGGACAGGGGACTTGGGTGCTTTAGAGCTGAGACCCCACTGCAGCCAGCACCCAGATCTCCTCTACCTCCTTCTGGAAGGAGGGACCCAGCTCTGCCCAGGAGACCCTGAACCTCCAGGCACCCCCCAACACACACACCATAGCCTGGGCCATGGGACTGTCTGTGCTCCCCTAGAGGAGGTATCACATGGTGGCTGAGAGCACAGATTGGGGATCCAGAGAGGCTGGGTTCAAGTTTAAATCCCTGTCAGGGGCCGGGCGTGGGGTGAAGGGGCCGTGGTTCAGGCCCAGCTCCCCCACTGTGCTGCTGGGCAGCCTTGCCAGTTTCCCCTCGTGGACAAAGATGGGATTGAAGCGACGCTTCGGTCTTCAAGGCGTGTTGCAGATGAAAGGAGATCATACATCTAAAGCACTTAGTGCAATACCCGGCACATAATAAGTGCTCCCTATTTTCAATTATTCATTGTTCCGTTAATTAATTCAGATTGTTCGTTGGTTCCTTTGTTCACTTATCTGTTCATTTCCGTATCCTTTTAGACCCTGCAGATGCTGAGCCCAGGCCCTGCACTCAACTTCCCTCTGTAGCCTCTATAGCCTGTGGGAGTGTCCGGGTGACCAGAGACTCAGCCCCAGGGTGGAGGGGTAGGCTCTCCCCGCTCCTCCACCGCCCTTTAGGTCTTCTGGCCTCGTGGCCATGTCCCAGCTCTCCTGTCTTTGAGAGCATGTCCATACTTCTCCCTCCTCATCTCCCTGTCGCTGCTGCCCCAGCTCCAAAGCCACCTCCTCCCTGAAGCCCTCTCTCATTCTCTGCCAGCTCTCAGCTTTCTCTGCCTGGCAGTCCCCAGCTCTGTGTGCATTCTGTCCCCCCCCTCTGTGTGTGCTTCTGGAAGAAGGGACCCAGCTCTGCCCAGCCACAAATGGACAGAGGAGGTTGGGAAATGAGATGGAGACAAAGGAAAGGCTAGGCAGAGCAAAAACTATGGCGGGTGGACCATGGAAAGGAGTGTGGACTCAGAGTGGGGTGGGAGGATGAGCCGGGGTGTGGATGGGCACGGTGGTCCCGGGAGGGCTTGGGGAGGGGTCCTGAGCTGGGGGCAGGAAGGGGAGGGGCCCTTTCCTGCTCTGCCAGGGGCCATGAGGGCTCTGCCCACAGGGCAGGCACAGTGCTCTCTAGGCTGCTCCTCCCCCCGGCTTTACCGTGGAGAAGCTGCAGTAGTCGGTGTCATCACTGTGGAAGAGGGTGGCATCCTTCAGGAACACTGCTCCCGCCTTGAGGATAAAGGTGGCAAACAGCTGGGTGTGGATGTAATTCCGGGGACAGTGGAGCTTCCTGGAAGGACAGAGAGAGATGAGGAACGGGAAGTCAGGTGGGCGAGGGCACCTGTCTGGGCTTCCTACAACAGGGGCCTGGCTGGGCTGGGCTGGGCTGGGTGGAGAAGCACTGAATCCCAGCAAGTCAAGCAGAAATAAGTGGAGAGGATGACCTGGAGTTGTAGCCCTGCAGGTCAGGTGACCAACCAGGGCCCTGGACGAAGCAGAGGTACAGGAACAGAGGAAATCCCTGCCTTCAGAGAGCTCCCGTCGGGGTATTGGGGGGCAGAGATGGCAGCGAACTGCCTGTGGGCGTGTCCTGGTGACCAGAGACTCAGCCCCAGAGCAGAGGGCAGCACAGGCTTTGAACACGGGAGAGTCATTAAAACAGAAAAAGGCCTCAGAGGATTGGAACATTCRAGAAGGACCGAACACAGGAGGCAAAGAGGATCCTCAGAAGCAGATGGAAGCAGGGCTTTGAACTCGGGGCAGATGTAAGCGCACTGAGAAGAAAGAAGGTGTCGCTCTCACGAGTTCCACAGGAGCCAAGGCTGGAGGAGGGGGTTCCGGTGTGTGAAGACAGGGTCCACGTGGTGGGGAAGGGGCAGGAAAGGTCAGAAACAGACAGGATGCCTAGAGCTGGGCACCTCCTGGCTGCCAGGCAAAGAATCCGACTTGATCCTCTGGGCAACAAGGAGCCATTGAAGGTTCTTGAAGGTGGTGAGGATGGCAAACCTGAGAGCCACCAGGATGGCAATGGCCAGGCAGAGGGCGATCACAGAGATGCTGTGGCCCGTGGTGTAGATGATCTTCACTGTAGAGAAGTAAGATTTCTGGGAAAGGGAGAGACAAAGTCTCAGCCTTTGCTGAAGGGGAGGCTCGGTGATGAGTGATTCCACCCCAGCCCTCCCCCTCTGGGGCAGAGGGGCCTGGGCACCACAGGAAGCTCCTCGGTGCTTGGAGGCTTGGCCTGCAGCCTGCCCTCCCCTGCCCTACTGGGGTCAGAGGTGAGGGTTGGAGGTGCTCAGCATCCACGGCTGCTTTAGGGGCGCAGAGAGGCAGCAGCAGAGAGCCATCCGTGGGGCATGACAAAAGCCCAAGAGGAAATTGGCAGTTTATTGACCACCAGTGTGCTCACCAGCCGGGGAACACAATGTCCCCACACAAAGGGGACAGCCAGGGCAGCGAGGCACAGCCATGGGCAGGCAGGGACAAGCTCTGTGCATGCCTGGGTGTTCAGATCAATCAGAGTCCCTCCCAGGCCCTGAGAGGGAGGATGCAGGCAAGAGGAGGAGCAGAAGCCCAGTCACTGGCCCCGGTCTGAGCTCTCCTGTGCAACTCAGGCAGCCCCTGGCCCTCTCTGATGCAGTTCTTTCATGGGAAACATGGTCACACGCCTGCTTGAACTTTCAGAGCTGAGGGCGGGGAGAAACGGGGTCTGAGTGTGGACAAAGCGCCTTGCTCTATGCACAGTGTGGGATGTGTCGTCTGGAATTGGAGGTCTCTGCCATCCCATCCGGGCTGAGTCCCCTCCCACTCACCCACACCCTACAGACACTGCCCCACAGACGGAGGACCATGGAGGGAGTCTCCGGCCCCGTGCTTCTAGGAGCTTTCGTTTCTCTGGAGGGCAGAGAAAGGCTCGCCAAGAAGATGGGAGCCAACCCATCTGCCTCCCCACGCCCCACTCCCTGCAAGCAAAGTGGCCCATGTGTCACCCTTGAGCAGATTAGCAAGCGACTTTCCTCTGCCCAACTCTTCACTGCCTGCTGCTGGGCGTCTTCTGTAATTAACATTCCAGCCGATGGCCATGGGAATGGCAGACGCCCAGTTGGGCAGTCTGTCACCCATACAGATGTCCATAACCACCCTTCCTCCAAGAGGCTAGGAGCCTCTTACCTCTTCATCCAGCAGCTCCAAGGGCACTGGGCAGGCCACGGGGTATGGTGGGAAGGGATCTGACCAGCCGGTGATGGTGCAGTCCCGATTCACAGCCCCTGGGAGGGAAGCCAGAGGCTCTGCTACCAGCACTCCCCCTCCCCCCAGGAGGGGTGGGAGGAGCTCTGGAGCATCTGATGCCCCTGGTAGCATTGGCACAGGCTGCGCTTGGGGACAGAGAGAGGGTGAGGTCCCTGAGAGGCCTGGATTCTGGGTCCAGCCTGCCTGCTACATAGCTGGGGTCTTCCCTTTGTGGCCTCCCAGGTGCCCTTGAGGGGCAGAGAGTGGTGAGTTAGGCCCTCAACATCGTAAGTGGAGTAGGAGAGAATCCTGGAGGGACTGTCCACTCCAGAGTGGGAGTGAGGCAGAACAGCTGGTGCCATCCCCCCTCTCGTCCTAGACAGCGGGTAGCATCTCCAGGGAGACACACTTGCTACTCTCCCGCTCACAGCTGGAGAACATTTGCTGGATGCCAGGCCTCAAGTCCAGTACCTCCACACTCCACCCTCTGGTCCTCCCTCCCCCTGTGAGGTTAGTGTCTTGTTCTKGTTCAGCAAGTAGGGGACCATGGTGGAGGGACTTGCCCAGGGTCGTGCCAGAAGCAGGAAGGGTGGACCCGAAGCCAGAGATGAAGTCATCTCACCTCCCTCCACCAGCCCAACCCAGGGTCCTCACCGGGCTCCGAGCTGAAGTGAGAGAAGAAAGCAGGGCAAGGGAGGGTGACCCACTCGCCAGAGCCTGCCACCGGCCAGCACAGCAGCCCGTCCCAGGTCCTAGGGCAGCCTAGACAGGGAGACACAGGGTGGACGGCTGGCCCGGCTCGCTGAGCAGCCAGGCTGGAGGAGGTAAGGGACCTGGGGATAGCACCTCTCCCCCCAGGCCCCGTACTCAGGGAGGTGTTGGGCGTCCCCTCTGCGGCCTCTAGACAGGCCCTCTCGTCTTCTCTCAGCTGGGCRATGAAGCCACATTCCGGGTGCACGTGGCCCAGAACCTGCCGGAAAGAGTTAACAGGATGAGCTGAGCCACCCGTGCTCCTCGGAGTCCTGGCTCCAATGGCCTGAAGACAGAGATGAAGCCTGATTCCGTTCTGGGCTCCATCCTAAACACGGGCCTGCATCCCGGGACTTCCACGTGTCATGGATGGATGTTCAGGCCGATGAAAGGAAGGGAAGGTGGGATGGAGGGACAGAGGTCTGGACGGATGCTTCTCCTTTCGGTCCCATAGAAGTAAGTTCTGAGACACATTCAACAAAATGCTTCTGGAGATACAGCAGTGAGCAGGTCACTCCCTATAATAGCCTTTCTTCCCTCCCTGTGTTAACCCCTCTCCATCCCCTCCCCCATCCCCTCCCCTCCCCCCTTCCCCCTTCCCCCTACCCCTCCCCCCTCTCCCCTCCCCCTTCCCCCCTGCCCCCCCCCCTCTGCCCTCCTGCTCCTTTGAAGCAAGTCTGCATCAGCTACCTTGGGAGGCAAAACAGTAGCCCCCAGGGATATTCACATCCCAATCCCTAGAGCCCACGAGGGTGCAGTTTTACATTGCGAAAGGAATTTGCAGATGTGATAGGGTGGAGGATCGCCAAGGAAAAGGCAAGCAGTTTCCAGAAATGCAGACCCACCAAACACCTCCATCTGAGTCCACTGAAAACCATGTTTGACTTTGACCTTTGTCTCAGGCTCTGCTTTCAGGAATAAGTAAATGCATAGACATAGAAGGTCGGAGATTGTACAGATGGGGCTGGGGATATAACTTAGTTGGTGGAGTGCTTGCCTTGAATGTACAAGGCCCTGGGTTCTTATCCCCAGCACCAGAAAAAAAAAGAGAGAGTGTATAGATGAACGAATCAGCACATGGACAGGTACATGCTAAAGTGAAGGAGCAGATGAATGTAATGTATGGATGGATGGATGGGTGGATAATGGATAGATGGATAGATGGATGGATGGATGATGGCTGTGCTGAATGATGAAGACAGACAGACAGATGAAGAGACAGATGTTTGGATGCATGGTGGATGGATGAGGTGCTATATCAGGGTGGGTGTGTGGGTGAGTTTATGGATGGAAAGATAATTGCCTTCCCATGTGGCTTAGACACATGAAGGATTTCAGCTTTAGGAGCCTTCCAGAATCTGGATGATTCCCAGAATCTGGTGTTTCCCAGTGACCACAGGGAATGCTCTCTGGAATCTGGAAAACAAGTTGTTTTTCTGGAAATCTAGCAATATTTCTGAATTTGTGCCTCATCAACCAATAGGAGACCAAGCAGGATGGAGCCATGCATGTGCAGAAATCTGTGGTGGCTCTGAGACTCCCTAGCTCTCTAGGGATCTGGGAGTCAAAGGCAGGAATTCCTAACACTCTCCATCCCCAGACTGGAGGGAAATGAAAACTGAACTACCAACAGGTCAGAGCCCCAAACACATAAGAGTGACTTTCTTACACAGGCATCCTGTCACCTTGCAGTGCTTTGAAAGTGTCAATCTCTGTCCTTCCTCCTCCACTGTCTGCAACCCCTGTCCCTTCCTAGGACATCTCCTTATGGTCTGTGTAGGAAACTCTTGAGGCCAAAGGAACCAGAGCCCAGGGTGAACAGCCTTCCACCCAAAGCATGAATAGGCAGCCTAAGAGAAGGAGCAAATTCAGGGGAGCCCAAGGGAGGACCAGCTGTCAGGTGGAGATTGCAGGGAGGGACGAAGAGATGGGGCTGAAAAGATGGTCTACTCTACATGATAAATTTTCCAGTCTTACTGTAGAAAGAGGTTCCAAGGGATGAGGCTCCACAGGTGTAGACTGGGCTATGCTGTCTTTAAATTTAGATTCTCGCCCCATGCTAAAACTAAATATTCAAGGACATGAATTTAATGGGCTCCTGGATACAGGTGCAGACCTTAGCACCAGAGACTTACCCAAATGCTCCTACTGAATCACCCCACTTACACCATACTGATCCCTACCCACTTAAAGGGACAATCTGCACCCCGGGACACCTGGCCTCCCCATCAATGACTGCTATTCGCCTTGGGGCCCTGGGGACTGGAGCCCGTGCTGGGAGACCATGATTTAGTTCTAGTCCTGATTCTGATGCACATTCCAGCTGCTGAATGACCCCCCACTGGTCTAGGGTACTCTCCTAAAAAGAAAGCTTTTACTGTTGAGCACACACAGTTGGGAGGAAGGGGACGTCCCCCACCCCAGGAGGAGCCAGTAGTAGAAGGGAACCATGTTGCAACCCCATGCTCAGATCCCACTCAGTGCAAAGCCCTGATTAGCAGATGTAATTTTCTTTTACAAAAGAGACAAAGGAGCCTCAGGAAGAGGAGAGGGGACTTGCTCCAGGTCACACAGCTAATTTCATGGTTCCAGGATTCATGAAAAAGCTTGTTTGCCTAAAACCAGATGCCCTAGGAAGGTGCTCAGGAAAGTGACAGCCCCCTGATAAGGTAAGGGAGGAGAAGCCCTCGGTCATATGAGGCCCCACTCAGGACTACACGACTCTCCTCTTTACACCTCAATCTGCCCCCCATCACAGCTCCTCTGACTCTGACCTCCTGCATCTCTCCTATAAGGACTCCTATAAGGACCACACAGGCTCACTCCAATGACAGTCCTTGCTGTCACTTGCAGTGACTCGGAAGAGCAGCTGGGAACTTGTAGCACATCAGGGCTGGCTCTCTGTCCTGTTATCCCATGCTCCAGTCTCCGAGGCCTTGGAGCAATAGTTGGTTGCCAGAAGCTTCTCCAGTTTGGGCATCATGAAAGGAAGAGTCCTCTAAATATCAGGACAGGAACGGCTGGTGGGCACTAACTGCCCAGGCCCCACTAGGTCCCTGGCCATACCCTCTGCAAAGGAGGCCACCAAAGTGGAATATGGCTGAAGAAGTCATGGAGGCGGGGAAGGTCTGGGACCATCACAGGGACCATCCACATCAATGTGTGGAAGCAGCCGGCCTGCCTGGCTTAGAGAAAGAGCATATTTGGGGTGGTAAAGGGGAGGGCCTCATCTTGTAGCCCCAGTTCCAGGGCAGCCAGTCTCTGTGACCCCCAGAGGGCCCAGCCAGGCCCTGGAAGAAGCAAACAGGGAGGTGAGCTAAGCTTGACCCTAGGAAGGACTGTTAATAGTCAGAGAAGAATGTCCAGGAAGGGACAGGGAGGAGGGAGCCAGCAAAATCAGAATTTCTCCAAGCCACAGGGAAGGCCTTACTCCTGCCTTGCAGAAGGACAAAGGGATCTCCAGCTGGGTCCCCCCAAATGCCCCATGGCTCCCAGATCTGGAACCCATGAAAGAGGCAGGAGGGTCTGGGCTGGCTACTCACGACTCCTAATGGGCTCAGCAGGCAGAGGATGCAGGCACCCCACATCCAGCTGTCCATGGTTGGAGCTCAGCAGGGGCTCTCTCCGGCCAGCCTTCTTGAACTGTCCTGCTTCCCTCCCCAACTGTTCCCTGCTACTGCCACTGGACGGTCTGCTTTCCTTTCCCAGGTGACTGTTTGCATAGGCAGGAGCCAGCCACAGGGACACGTCCCCTGAATATTCACCAGGATTGCAGCACGCTCTTCCCCACTCAGCCCTAGTCCTGGGGGAGACTCCATGTCCTCTGCAGGGAGGGGCGCAGCTCCAGCCCCACCTCTTCCTCTGTGCCTCTAAGTTTGAGCTGACCAGACAACCAGATGGCCGACCCAGTCGTGGTGGTGTAGTGGCAGTGGGGACTGGAGAATTGGAATGAGCTTTAAGAAGGAAGAATGATCGTGAAGGGCCGACGTAGGATGTCCAAAGGATGTATTGTCTTGGCAGGATCCAGCTTTGTCACCTGGCACAGATGCTGGCCTAAATGGGGAGGAGACATCTGCACATGTCAAGGTCCTGACATCACATGGGGCTTATTAAAGTCTCTCCCCCAATCCTCAAGGCAAGAGGGGAAAGTGCGACTGATCAGGAGGCTCGAAAAGGGATTCATGGAACTAGGCCATCTTGAATCAGGCAAGATCAGATGTCTTGAGAAAACAGACTTACATGTTCCCACCCAAATTATTTTGGACATTCATCACCTGGTCATTTTTATCATCGTTTTAGGTTTTAAAATGCAAGATCTGAATGGACCAGACTAAAGACACTGTTCTCAATTAACCTGGATCATGCATGGTATTTTGGAGACCCTGAATGTTCCAGGAGCCTATGGGGTCCTGATGGTCATGGGCAGCCCTCCACTCACAGAGGGTGCTGGGCTGGACGCTGGAAATACCAGACATGTTTACAGCAGATGCATGTCATGAATGTGGAAGGTTCCTCACCACACTAAATCCCAGCTGGATTGTTTGACATCAACAGAGCTTAGTTTTTCCACTTTTATACATTGTCAACAAAATGTAGAAAAATATTTTGAAAAGAAAATGTGACACCATTCCAAGCCCCAGAGCCCCCTGCCCTTCCTTGCACACGTGTTTTCCCGAGCTCACCCAAGCCTGGCACAGGCAGCCCACCACCCTGAGCTCTGCACATTTTCAAGGAGAAGCAGACTCCCCTCTTGGCAGGCTGAGCAAGGACCCACAGGCTGGGCGAGGAGAATGCTGAGAAGCTGTGGCTTAAAGGGAAACCAAGAGCCTTCTGTCCCTCAGCTACAAACAGGCACCAGCACCAGAAAGAATATTATGGCAAATGACTGTTGATCATCAGTATCAATATCATTAGCATGAATGATGGTTAATAATTGATATTGATAATTCATAACCGTTAATATTGTCTAAATTAGTGGTTCTTCATAATGAGAATACTGTTAAGTGATTATTTTAACAGTGAGAATTTTACTCAGCAATGTCTGAAGGTATTTTTTATTATCACAACCAGGGAATGGGAATGGGGAGGAAGAAAGGCAAGGAGCTCTTGGTATATAGTGAGCAGAGACCAGGGACACTGTTAAAAACACCCCACAACCATGTAAAGAATTATCCAGACCATGATCAATAGGGACGAGCTTAATAAACCCTATCTAACTAGTTGTTTGTGCTCGACCAAAGCCTCCCAGGCTTATCTTTCTGAATAACCCACAGATCTCCCATCTCTAGCTCATTCCATATTTATATAGTTTTCAAATTCTGCCCCCATTGCTTGCTAGCTGTCATTCCTTGAGGAAGTTATTTAACCTTTCTGAAAAATGAGGATAATGGTAGTACCTTACAGAGTTTGTGGGATAAGTAGACAAGGAAAGGCACATAAAGTACCTCATAAGGAGCCCGGCTCCCAGTGGACAATCATATGTTAACATGTAACAATAGGAAAGATAGCACAATGAGTTGGACATAACTTTCCCATGTTTATATATGAATGCACGACCGACTGGTATAACTCCAAGTTATGTACAACCACAAGAATGGGAAGTTATACTCCATACATGTAGAAAGTGTCAAAATACACTCTGCTGCAGTGTATATCTAAAAAGAACAAATAAAAAATAAAACCATCCTCCTTCTACTGCCCAGGAAAAAATTAAAAATAAAATAAATGAACTATCAGAAAATGAGGCTGGAAATACTGACTCTTTATATGGAAAAAAATAAGATTGGATTTCTAACTCACGTTTATTAAAAAATTTCTAAAATGTCCAAAACCCTAATTGCAAAATAACAAATAATAAGGTCCTTTCAAAAAATGTAAATTTATTTTATCATCTTAGAGGAGACTTTTTTATATAATAAAATGAAGACTATATCAAAAAATCAATAAGTTTAGCCACATCAACATTAAAAATCATGTATGCTCAAGAAAGTATACCAGAGGTGGAAACTAAAAGCAGACTGCAAACTGAAAGAAATGTTTGCAACCAACAGTAACAAACAAAGGCTTGGTGCCAAAAACACATCTTAAAAATATCTACAAATCCATAATAAAGAGAAAAATAATCCAATAGGTAAAGGAGCAAAGGAATATCCACAGGTCACCCAGAAAAGCAGTAAAATACACAGACCAAGGAACAGGTGAAGATGAGCTTGATATTGCTAATAGTCAAGAAAATGAAAGTTAAAAGATTAATAAGCTATCACTTTCACTTACCACATTGCCTAAAATTTTTGTGTCTGATAATATGATGTTATGAAGATAATGTGAGGAGTTACTTTCACATACTCTTGTTGGAAGTTAATATTATTCATCTATTGGAAAAATAATTCAATAATTACCTATTAAATCTATAAATGAACATATCCTGTAAACCAGAAATTCTATTTCTGGATATTTGTCTCTGGAGGTCAGTGTTGTTTATAAAATATAATAAAAACCAGTAAACAATATAAATGCTCAATGATAAGAAACTAGCTAAACAAATTTTGATTTATTCATGCAATATAACACTATATAGCAGTTAAAAATTATGCCCTATGTTTGACTTGGAATGTGGCTAAACCCTCTGGTACTGGAAAAAAAAGCAGGGTAGCAAAATTATGAGCTAAATCTGTATCAAAAAATATATTTTGAGATCAGGTGCAGTGGCACATGCCTGTAATCCCAGCCATTTGGGAGACTGAGGCAGGAGGATTGCAAGTTCAAAGTCAGCCTCAGTAACTCAGTGAGGCGCTAAGTAATTCAGCAAGACCTTGTCTTAATAGAGTATAAAAAAGGACTGGGGATGTGGTTCAGTGATTAAGTGCCCCTTGGCTCAATTCCCTGTGTGTGTATGTGTGTGTGTGTGTGTGTGTGTGTGTATTTTTTTTTTTTAGGAACTTCTGCTTCCAGCCAAAACTGAGTGACAGAGGTTGATTTATCCTTCTACATTAACAAGAAGTGCAAACAAGATATCTAAAACATTGGATTTGTAGATATTAGAAAACAAATAAGCTGAACCCTATGCACCAGTTTACTACCAGTCCACAGTTCAAAAAGGAGTCACCCAAACACAGGCTTAGTGGTCTTGAGGAGTAAAGGAGATGGACAATTTTGATTGAGAAGGCCACTCTGGGTGTAATTTGTGAAGCAAAATACTAGAGACTAGATGCTGCAGAAAGACAGGGCTTTGCAGTTCTGCAAAGAGGTCCTCCCACCATCCCCTTCTGCAGGCTTTGCCTGGACACCAACTAAGAATGTGTGTATAGAGACCAAAATTGCAGAAAGAACGATTGCAATTGACTAGGAAGGAAATTCTCAGAACTCACAGGGCTGAGGACATCTTGTGTGCTGGCCGGCCAAGTGAAAAGAACTTGTAACTCACAGAGCATGAATATGCAATAGCAATGCTGTAGTAGTTGAAGAAAATTAGCCTAGAGTAAGGCTGCTCTGGACCTACTCTAACAAAATTAAGGGCAAACCTAAAAAGGAGTCACAACATAACTTCACTAGAAAAAGAAAAAGCCAACATCTTTTAAATAAACAAAATCCATAAACCAACAATGCAAACTTCACAATGACTGACATTTGATTTAAAAAAATGAAGCATGCCAAGAAACAGGAAAATATAACCCGTAGCCAAAGGAAATACCTCAGTCTGTAGGAATAGATCTAGAAGTGATAAAGATGATGGAACTATCAGATAAAGATATCAAAGCAATCATTACAAACATGCTCCACACGTTGAAGGTAGAGTGAGACATACTCATGGTGAGTAGACAAGAGGCTACTTAAAAACCCAAAATCAACTTGCGAAAATTAGAGATACACTATCAGAAATGAAGGGGGAAAACACACCCACCAGCCATGATTAATAGCAGACCAGACACCAGGGAACAGAGAGGGGAATGAAGTTGAAGATATCAAAACATAAACCATCCAAAATGAAACACAGCAGGAGAAAATAAATATAAATTTAGATAAAAACTAAACAAACTACTTAATAAAAAGAACTGAATATAAGTGAATTGTGGAATAATATGAAGTAGACCAACATGTATGATTAAAGTTATACACAGAAGGGGAGAGGAAAACAATAAACAAAGAAAAACTCCAAGAACATGTGATAATTAAATTACTGAAAACCACTATCACAGAGAAATCTTTCTGGCGATAGAAAATCTTGCAGCAATCAAAGCAAAAAATATATATTGTGAACAAAGATGAGAATGACAGCATATCCTCATCAGAAACTATGCAAGACAGAAGATAGTGGAGAAATAAAGTACCAAAGAGAAAAACTTTCAAACCAGAATTTTTTTTATTAGTGAAAATCTATTTCAAATCCGAGGGCAAAATTTTAAAGAGAAATCAAAGGCAAGAAAATTCATTGCCACAAGAGCTGCACTACAGGAAGTGTTTCAAGCCAGAAGGAAAATTGGAACAGATAGATATTTGCAATTACAGGAAGGATGAAAAAATACTGGGAATGGTCATAAGATGATTAATGTAAAAGCCTCTTTTTCTCATTTTACAGTTTAGGAGAAAATTGATCCTTCTGAATACAGGTGCAAAAATTTTAAATGAAACACTAG